TTTAACACAGATGAGAGTACTTGAAACGTTTTTATATTTTATATGTTTTTAAACATATATTAAAAAATATTATTATTAATTATTTTAATCAATGACAAATTAATCTATATATTTTGTGTGTTAAACTATGTTGGTGAAAATGTCTCCGTTTCAATATCGCAAAGAGTTACCAAAAAATTTCACGAAGTATCACAAATCCATGGACAAGGAGAATGCATATACGATTGTACAAAATGGCAAATCTTCTGAGTGTAAACCCGACAGTGGAAAAAAGAAAGGACTGTCGTTGAATGCGGAATGCCGTGCTGTTAGTACGATATCGTTGCAAAAGTCTTCCGTTGGCAAAACACCATTCGAAGTCTACTTCGATAGTAATGAGAATGTCCGATCACGTCCGCGTGTGCGAAAAGATGTTTGCAGAAAAGAAATTAGAGCCAGACGAGATGTCGAAGCTCTTGAAAAAACAACCGTAATGATGACGAAAGTAGTGGAGGCTGACGATTTTAATTTACGTAATATCTCACGCAGGTAACAATCCCACAACAGAAAAAATTCTGTCTTAAATATAAATTCGACATTATTTTTTTAATAATATGTCTACATAAAATAAAGAATTTTAATAAAAATCTTAGTAAATTAAGTTAAAAGAAAACAACTTTTATTTTTTGTAGAGCACGTTCTTCAAGCAACTGTCGTAATAAAGTTTCTTTAGATAAAACGATTGAGGCAAATAATAAATTATTTCACAATCGGGGCAGGTAATTCTATGTATAATTAAACATCCCAAGATATGGACATAAAAATATTAATTTAGATTAGATGAATTTTTTAATTACATTTATTTTTTTATGTGTCAAATTGATTTTCTTAATGCTTTTTTATGCAATATTTTATGCAATTATTTATCATAATATTAATAGATTATATTTTATCTAGATCTTGTTCCGAAAGCAGGAAGCAGCTTCCACGATGTGTCGTACAATCATCTGATGTTCAGAGAACCAGACATCTCACAGATGACGTTAAAAAACGAACGTTTTGCAGTATCGAAATGTGGAAAGATAAGATGAGGAAACCGTGTAGTCAGTGTCGTAAAAGAATCTAATGAAAAAAATAATATATTCGTGAATCCAAATTAAAAAAGAGTTCCTTATAAATTATTATTTCATATAAATTATTATTTCAGATGGTACCGTGCCAAAAAATTTTTACAAATATATATTCGAATGCATTAAGTATAGATAAAACACATGGCAAAACTAAGTTGCAAAGAAACTCAACTAATTCCGTGGATTTGCAATCCAAAATATTACAAAATGATAAGATAAATCCGGATAAAAATATCGATAAACAATTATTAACAGACAATAATTTAACTAGCATACTCAAACATTTATCACATGAAATCGCAGCAATTCTGGAAGATAAGACATATTTGAATACACAAACTGATGACACGAAGTAAGCTATAAAAAAATGCATGGAAATAAAATAAAATTAATCTTTCATTAGTTATTATTAATAATAATTTATTAATTTTTATTATTAATAATTTAATGATTTATTAATTTTTATTTCATCTCAAATTAATTTTTATTGCTAAATTATGATAAAATAAAATAATGGAAACACGCTTTAAATTATTTCAAATATCTTTTTCAGAAGTCTTAGTTCTAAGAATAATAATCTAGACATTACAGTCACGTCCAATGATAAATCTAATATTGTAACACCTTTAGATGGTCATTCTGCTCTGCCATTAACTCCAGTGAAGGTAAAGAAATACAATTATTAATACAAATATATATAAATAATTTATTTATTTGAAGCTACATTAATACAATTTGTATTAATAATACAAGAATGCATACATCAATAATTAATAGATCAATGTGTTATTTTTTATACAAATTGATATACGAATCAGTCTAATGCAAATTAGATATATTTCAGATTTACAATTACGGAGAAATATTGTTATAGCTTCAAATAAATAAATTATTTATTCGTTGTATGTGCAGTTATTACGAGTGTGTTAATTCTTTAAAAAAATGTTAAAGTTATTAAAGTTATTAATGTTAAAGTTAAAGTTAAAATAGTATTATATTTAAAATAATTTTTACATTTTTGACAAGGTACGTTACGAGAAACGCGAAGTGACATGGAAATCATCAACCAAAAGGACATGAATGAATTTGATGTTGTTAACGAAACGTTGTGTGATTACTTAGGGGATGTACCAGATACGGAACGCAAGAGGGATGATAATGCTCCGAAGCTCTCCTCTCGTTTTCTACGTGATAATGTAAATGCAGAACAAAGGAGACTCATTGTAGGATACATTATTCGTCTGGGCGTGAGTATAACATTATTACGATCGATATTAATAAAATGATTTTAATAAAAAAACAAGAGCGATATAAGTTTTGTTTTGATATCATAAATATATGAAGATAATTTTATCTCTTACTAAGAATAAAAGACAACAACTGCCACAAGATATCTTTTAGTTTTTATTAAGTTCAACTAGAATAAGAAAATATATTTATTGAATATTAATTTCTGTTTGAGACATTTATGATTATGATAATTTTTAGGTACACTGCTATTATCCGTCTCATGTTATTTATCAGACTATCAAGTTGTTCAATGTAGCTATCGATCGAATTTTAGTGAAGACAGATGATATACAATTAATGGCTTTGGCGTGTCTCTGGATAGCTCTTAAGCGAGCAGGATCTAGTGAAAAATTACCATCGGTAATAAAAAGTGTTTATCTAGAGGAAAGATCGAAAGAGGAATTATTATAAATGATAAAAATAATTATAGTTTTAAATATAAATTTGTTATCTAATGAAATAATCTTGTCGTAATATCTTTCGTAATATCTATATATTTTCTTAGGCTACTGTAATACTGCAATTGGCCAAGGATTTATACATTAATCAAAAGAAACACTTGTTAATGTATGAAAAGAAAATTTTCGAAGCCGTTAAATTCAACATACAATTCGCCGATCCATTCTCATTACTTTCATATTACATATTGAATATAAACGAAGATAGTCAACATAAAGTCATTACTTCAAACAATATCGTGCATCTTTACTTTTGCGGCAGTTACATGGTAGTTATAAACATAAATAATACATATAAGTAGTGTGTAGCAATTCGATTTTTAGTATGCAAATTATACATAGGGATAAATAAACAATTTTTATTTATAGATCGATTTATCAATGTTAGATGAAGAGTTGTGTGATGTCTCGGTACACGTGATAGCAATGGCTGCGACAGAATTAGCGCTTTGTCTTGTATATTCAAGTGATATTATAAATGAATCATGGTGTTCAGTTTGGAGAAGGAAACAGTTGCTCACAGAGTAAGAAAAAACAAGCGTAAATGAGCAAAGGTGTCTCATTTTCTTGAATAAATGTATTCATTATATTTTTCTTAAATGATGTATTAGTTTTACGACAAAGACAATATAATTTGTGTCACATTTAAAAAGGAGAAATTAATGTGAATTTTTGTCGGACGTATTAATCCAAAAAAGTTTATTTATTTTTAGATGGGAAGAAAGAGTGATGATTTCTACGAAGCAGAGTATGCTGCTAAATGCTACGCAACACTGGAAATTTAGTTCGAATGTTATATACAAAAAATACATGCGCAGTAGAAACGGTAGAATCACTATTCTTGTTCACGACAAATTGAGGAATATTATATGTTAGTCAGAGACGTAAAAAAATTTTTTAAATTTTAACGTCTTATATTTTTTAATCTTTTTTAATGTTTTTTTATTTATTTTGTTATCATGTATGTTTTATATTTAATTAATATTGCGCTGGTCGCTTTTATATTTCAATTTACAAATAATTTCCTTTGTTATATTAAGAAATATTAATGTAAAAAATTTTATAAAATTAATAAAGGGAAATGTAATAATGTAATGTTATATGCTCAGAAAAATATATTTTTATTGCAAATTTAAAGAAATAAGCATTTGATTCAAGTTTATGCTCGGCATGATTTCTTAAAAGATTAATGTAATATGAAAATATGTAATTTCTGTTGGCAGTATGCTACTTGTCAATGCATAAACATAAGCAAGGTTATCAACAGTGATAATATTTTATTTATTTAATAGTTTTTTTTGCGAGTTGTTGATATGTGACCTAGTGATAATTTTTACAAAAGTAATAGCATCAATATCACAAATTTTATAATCAACGGTTATCAGAGTTTAGTGTTTAATTCTTGATTGTCAAATTTTAATGAGTGCCATACTGTTGTTGAATATCCGCCCAACTGTTCCATTTATCCCATGAGTTATCAACGGACATCAGTTCCTTTGCATCATCCTAAAAACAATATCATATAATGTTCATTATACAAAGATAAATTAACAATATGTATGATTATTGAATTTAAAAAACGGTATATTGTAAGAAAGATACAAAGTCTTGATCATTTTTTATGACGTTGATACATAGCATTGATATAAATTATTATTTCTTAATTTATATTTTTATATAAATATATATTATTGCGTAATTAAATAATTAATACTTCATTTTTTTATTAAATTAATATGTTTTTATACAGAATTTAATATAATCACATTTAATATTTGATCCGATACAGTTAATATGGATTTAAAGCAGTGTATTAATTATTTTAACAAAATGAGAAAAGATCCTTTTTACCTTGAATAATACATTGGGTTTGTCACCCCAGGCACCGAAGAGGCGCAGCAAATCCGGGTTTTCGGAGTACAGCGTGCTCGCGGCCAAAATGCCATGTTTCAATTCTTCCAGGGCATTTGGACCCTTTCCGGCTGAGCTGACAATTACCCTTGGTGGCTCCAATCCTAAATTACAATGTTCCCATTCGTGGATGGATACCTGACCGCCGTTCGGGCAAAGCAAGACGTAATCTTCCGGTTTACCAGCACCATCCTTCTCCTTATCTAAAATACAATATGTGTTATCCGCAAAGCTACACAATAGGCAATCATAATAGTGATTCTAATTATATATATATAAGATATATAATTTATTTAACAAAATGATATTTACCGAGCTGTTGTAAAGCTGTCAAAGGTACGAACGCAACGTCTCCTTTCCCATCCTTCAGACATCTAAAAAAGATGCACGAATTGAATTGTTTGATAAAAAGTCTTATAAACATAATCATTTTCATTATCAAATCGAGAAGATCTTACATAATTGGTTTTATTTTTATCATAGGATTTTTATGGATTGACTTTATTTATACAAGTTAGCTGAAGATACATATATAAAAAAATTATAAAGACCAATATTACCTGAGTGCTCCTTTTCCGCCATTGTAATATTCGGCATTCGTAGGTCTGCATTTCGTCGCTTCTTTTGTCTGATCGTCATCGGATTTGATATTGCCAACACACAGTTCACAGAACTTCGAATTGAGAGGTGCGCCAGGCGCGCAAGACTTCGAAAAGAAGGAATTTATCTCGCTGGGTTCGTTAATAAGCCCCTTTTGTTTAAGTGCGTGAGCTGGGGCATAATAACCGGCGAAATCGCCCACGAAGCCGCTGTGACAAGACGGCTTGCCTCTGAGATCATCTATAGACAAGTACACATATTAATGATATAATAATTATGCAGCAGAAATTTGAAAAATCTCTTTTAGATTTATACAAAATTTTTCCTGCAAATTTTTTCTTCAATTATTCAAGATTCACATTTTTTTCTGAAAATTTTAATATTGATATCTAAAATTTTAATATTGATATCTAAAATCTAAAATTAAGATGTAATTTCAATGTTAATGAATTTTGTATGTTTATTAACACAACATTATAGAATTTATAGTCTGTAGATTTTATCGGAACAAATGCATTTTGTATATGCGAGCTTTCATCTAGTACCTAATCCATTTATGGAAGAGCCACTCTTGATGACGGCGACCGCTGGTCGCTCGCTGAATTTTGTCGATCCCTCACCGTAAGTCTCGGCTACGATCGGTTGCGCGTTGTAATCGTTGATCGCAAGTTTTACCGATCCACCGTCAAGCACGGTAATGTCTGCTCCGTTGTCCCTGACGGCCTTTAAGCAAGCGGCCTCGTCTTTCTCCAGTATACAGTCAAATCTAGGTCTGGCGTCTCTATATAAATGATAGTGATACGTGTAATGTAAAACGTGTAATGTAAAATGTAAGAAGAATACTTTTATGTTTACAATCTAATTAATATAAATAAAATGAAGAATTAAATTCGTCTGTCTTGAACTAAGACATCAAGTTAATTGATTGAAATTTACGTGACTGTACCTGGAGAATGCGGCTCTAGCGAGGCTGCGACACTTGTTCAATGCCTGTTCATTCCAAACGCACCAACGTGCGTCTCTTTCCGGTGCTCCGGAATTCCTCTCGATCACATCCATGTATTTCGCACTTTTTAAATGCTCCTCCGGTGATACTGGTGGTGCAGCGACAGCTAGAGTCTTCTCATTGAGCAACAGAAGATCCGACCACCAATCTGCCTTTTCGTTCTCGCCGAGCTGACCTAATTGCGTTAATTCCTGTTCCAAAAAATATTCCAAAATTAAATAACAATTTGCATACAATGTATGCAACGTTAAATATACAACATAAAATATAATCGTTTATCAATCAAATCTTTATTTATTAAATTTTCCTTCCTAATTACTTGTTTAATTAATTGTGAAACATTTATTTATGTTTTATGTTATATTACGATTAGTTATTTTTAGCGGTATTTAAGAAAATTAATTAATTAATCTTTGCTAATATGAAAAAAAATTTATTATCATCTTTCTAAGATTCATCGTTCAGATCAAAGAATCATATAATATATGTAGGAATATTTTCGTTCGGAGTTATTCTTATCCTCTGTATAACGTTCAATTAGTCATTGAAAACATGTCTAAACAAGTTCTTAGGAAACAGATCACGCACTCTCTGGATAGCTTCCGCATTGTTGGCGTCAGCTCCGTTGGTCATATATCCCTGCCAGGGTCGGGCAGCCCACGTGCACGGTTTTGTGTTCGCGTCGATGGGTACTTTGCTACCGTCCGGGCAGAAGTACCGGAAGTCAGCCGGATTTTCGGGTGTCGGCACCGCCGGAGTAATTCCGACAGGCAGGCCGAAGAAACGTTTCACGTAGATGACCTTCGTCCAGGCGACGTCGCCGCCATTGTGTGCAAGACAGCGTAAAGCTCCCTCGTATCCGGAGTATATGTCCGGATAATCGCACACGTCTGGTCTCTCGCAAAGTGCGCACATGTTGCTGTATGTCTCCTCTGAAGAAACGCAAACGAGAATTCTTCAAAGTGTCTCGATCGAAAAAAAATTAACGATACACTCTTCCATAATTTACTCGGAGTAACTCTAAAGTTTTCCAACCACATAATCACTATAGAATAAAAACCACTAAATATATATATCAACGTTTAATATTAAGATAGATATTGGTATGAAAGATAACGCGTGCTGTTATGGACGCTTTAATCGTTTCGTCATTTGTGAAAAAAAGTTCAATTGTAATTGAAGAAATGAGAGCCTATTTACGCAATGTTTGTAATTTTACTTTCTACTTAACGTAACGACTTTTACCTCAGCATTGCAATTTGTTACGTTAAGATCACTTTTGTTCACACGATTATAGTTTAATTTTATATAAGTGAAAAACAAAAAGTTTATGTCTTAAAAAAGCAATGAGGCAATTTATGTACACGTATTATTTTACAATTAACATATCATTCGTCGGCAGTTCGCCCATATGACATAATCACTCTAAGTTCGAAGATTACTGCCACTTACTGAGCCTTTGATTGATGGCGGGATCGGGTGACCACCTGCCGACCAGGCAGCCTTTGTCAAAGAGCGTGCTCAGAGCTCGAAGTTCATTCTCGCGAGCGGAATATTCTGGATTGTTGATGTCAGTCAATACTTCCATCGCGGTGAGCTTCGTGATGGGAATTTTGTATCCGACATTACGGCCCACCCCAGTATGACAGGACTTAAGACCCTTCAGGCCCTGGACGTTGTTAATATTCAGATCCTTGTGTATTACGGCTACCGCTTCGTAACGATATATCGCCTCGGGTTCCTCCTTCGTCCTCACCTGAACAGAAATAAAAAGATATATTAAGTCATACGAATAACATGTATCTGCAGGAAATAATCGCGTTAAATAATTGTTGGGTTTTTTATACTCATAAATTTTGCAGCGCGTTGATTCTACTTTTCATTTTAAAGTGTAAATTTGCTTTTTCTTAAGTATGTCAGATTTATGTTTATTCTTGCTAATGTAAGATTAATTTTGAAAACAATTTAATTTACTTTTTATATTTTCTTAATTTTAATTAGTCAAAAAAAAAAAGAAATTAAAAAGAAGAATAAAATAAGACAAGAGAAAGATAAATTAAACTTAAATAAACTAAAATTAAACTTAACAGACATTGGATAAAAATTCATGGATTTGTTAAATTTTAAGTGCCGAATATATCACCTGTTCGACAACGTTGTATCCCGCTGTTTCAGCCAATTTATTCTTCGCCGCGAGATACATGTCCTCTGGATCTACGGCGACGATATCCGCTTCCTTCCTGCCGACCCTCTCGATGCAGTCATATCGATCGCGTCCAGAAATGCACGATATTGGGAAACCTTTGCTCACCGAATCTTCCATCATTTTCACGCATTCCTTCGAGTATATCTCCGGAATGCACATTGTGACTAACGAAAAATTAGATTATGTTCAATAATCAACATATCTATATTTTCTTATTTA